GCGGAGCGTTACTCATTTAAAACAGCAGATTATAATAAACTTAGGTTAGAGATATCGAAGATAACTTGGCCCCAGTATGATGGGAATGCTGAAGATAGTGCCTTACATTTTAGCAATTCCTTACGCCATATTTTCAGTAACATCATTCCTTTTGTTAAGGAAGCTAACGTAACGTCTAACGATCAGTGGTTTACTGGCGAATTAAAACGCTTAAAAAATCAAAAACCCAAAGCATTTAAGCTTTTTAAAAAATCTGGCTTGTCTTCTCACTACTCCGCGGTCTCCATTCTTAGGCAAAAATACAATGTATTGAACAAAAGGTGTTACAATAATTATATTAACAGGGTTCGACTCAATATAGTTTCTAATCCCAAATCGTTTTACGCATTTGTGAACACAAAGCGTAAGACTAACGGTTATCCCTCAACATTGAAGTTAAATGACTTAGTTTCCAGTGACGAAAATATTATTGCCGATANACAGGGTTCGACTCAATATAGTTTCTAATCCCAAATCGTTTTACGCCTTTGTGAACACAAAGCGCAAGACTAACGGTTATCCCTCAACACTGAAGTTAAATTACTTAGTCTCCAGTGACGAAAGTATTATTGCCGATATGTTTGCTGGTTTCTTCGAATCAAACTACTCTGCCAGTTCTACATCTTCCCAATAGGGCATTCGCACGAGGCGATTTTACAGGCAACAAAAGTTGAATGCGGAGTTGAATGAGAAGTTGAAAGTGAAAAAGTTGCTATCCCTATTCAGACGAGGCGATTTTCAATTCAACACGAATAGTTATTTACATTATTTAAAATGAATTTAAATCGCAAAATTTTATCAATTGGCGTAAATTTGGTAAGCCAAGCGTTGGTATAAGTGCTTTTAGCGAAGCTGAAAGATAAAATAAGAGTAAAAAGTAGAAAAGAAGAAAAAGTATGTATACAGAACAGTGTTGACATTTTTGGTACAATTGTACTTGGTTGATACAATTTCATTTACAATATACTTTCCTACTACGCAGTACTTTTTAGTACAATTTTGTAATCAATACTAAATATATATAGCTCTGAAA